GGCAGTACCCCAGTTTATAAAATTGGAACTCATTGAGCAGCCACAAGAAGAGTCATAGAGCCAGAAGGAGAATAAAGACAAGGGAGCCCATCTCTTTGGTAAGGGAGATGATCTATTACTTTTTCCCCTGTTTTAGCTTTAACAGGAAGATACTCTTAGTCCTGCCTGGCCTATGGCCTAGTGGTTTGGCCACTGCCTTGTGATTGGGATTCAAGTCATAACAAGTAGTTGTTTAACACATGCATGTACATGTACGTGCATGTGAGTGTCTGTGACAATTATATTTTTGCACCTTCATGACAGAAACAGAACAGAATGTTAATAGAGCTGTAGACCTCTGTGCCATATTGCACAGTAGGCCATATTTAGTTACATAAGGCAAATATGTAGAAATTTTGCATGTCTTAACATGATTCAAGATACTATACAGGATGAAGTTGAATATCATTTCATTATTTAGATGCCTAAGAACTACATAAGTGTCACTTAGCCATTTTTATAGCCAAGTAGAATTTAGCCCTGAGTATATTATAGGAGATTTACTCTATCCATGGAGTCTACCCAAAGCAGAAGAACAAAGGCAGGCAGAAATACAGTTCTCATAAGGCAATGTACCACCATGGAAAATTGCAGTTCATTAGTTAAACATCTGGGTGAACTATTTTTACATTTCTGATTCAGAGGGTGTCTCTACACATTCATTAATGCACCATAGTTACAGCACATTAAGTTTAGTAATTGGATAATCAAATACTAAATCAATGTGCAGTAACTCATGCTACTGCACAGTAGCACTTCTGCACAGGTTTTTTCAGATGTGAACTGTGCAGTAGCCTAAAACTAATATGCGATAGCGTATTAGCATGGGTTTTGCCTGGCATGCTACTGCACAGTGTTATTAAACTACTGCACAGTTAGCATCTTGTGTAGACACACTCAGAATCTTTTAGAATATTTATTCAATTACATGGATAGTATAGAAATTTCAATATTTTGTCCCCATATCAGGTGAAGACAGATTTTGAAGTGGCAGAATTTCCCAAAGGATGAACATTTTGAATTTCATTCGGTTCTAGGCATGAGACAGACATGATTTACTGTACCAGCTTAGAGATTTCACAGATGTTTGGGGAAAGAAATCCCCTTAGAATTGAAATGTACTTTACATACAAAAGACAACATAGATCATACGTATATAAATTCCATTATAAGTGCTCTTCCCTTTTTGGATAGAAATTGAAGTAAACCTTGTCTCTCCTTGGAGACTAACAGCTTCTTTGAATGTAGGTGGATCCCTTACAGGCAACAACAATACCATACTCTTTATAGGACAGTAACATCTTGTTGATATTTGTGGACATTAGTATGCAATGTAGAATGCCCTGCAAAGCCTATGTAAGATAATTCTAAATTCTTATTATGAGGACTTAATAATCTTTTAATTCTGTGAAGATGATATGTATTGTTATTTTCATCAGTATCAGCAAACCAGATAACAGTACTATTATCTTTATTTTATGGCTAGGGAACCAAGACACAGAGAAGAAAACCAACTAGACCAAAGCTGTACAAGAATTCTTTAGTGGAACAGGAAACCGAACCCTGATTTTCATGCTGTGAGTTAACACTATACCCAGTGGACAATCCATCCTCTTCTCTTAGCCTATCAACACTAGTATGTTATAGAATGTATATGATATATTTAAGTCAAACCAAAGGAATGCTAATCTGAGAGGGACATGGAGTATATTGGAGTGCCAAGTGAAAAATGTAATACCAAGGTAAGACAGTAGACCACATCATGCATACCAAAGTACTTTATACGTTTTGTAGAGGGATCACTTCCCCCACATCTAAAGTGAAAGGGCATTTATACATGTGCTGGGGGGGGTGCACTTTAATGACAGTGGCTCCGAGAGTCAAACAAACTTTAGCTAAAACACCCCCACCACTATTTTTCAGTGCAGAGACACTGATACACATGAGGCTGGGGTCTGCTGGAGTGCGGTAATTACCATGCTTCAGCAGACTTGATTAATTGAGTCTGTTCCAACGAGCTGTAATTACAGCGTGTTGGAGCAGCCTTGATGCACATATAGAGGTGCCCAAAAGGTGAAGCTGTTGGAAGCCTTAATGCACATATAAGGGTGCCCAAAATGTGCAGCTGTTTATCAGCACAAAGTGACTCTACATAACAGTTAAGGATAGAAAGTGAAGAGGAATACTGTATATAAATAAAACTGCATAGATCACATACATAACTGATAGCCGACATTCATTTTCAGTTTGCTAAGAGAGTCAGTTCTAGTCTTGCAAGTGGTGACCTGGTTTAAATTATTCATGTCTCCACCATCTTTCAGCAGAACCAAAGACATCTGATAAACCTGGGCATGATGGACTTAAAAAGCTCTCAACTGGTACAAAATGACACATCTGAACAACACAGTCTAATATGTGCAAATCAGGTTTGTCCTGCATTCTCTATGCTGGTTGCTCATAGAATTTAAAATGACATTTGAGGTCTCGATCTTGTCTTTAAGGTGCTCCATGGTTGCAATGGGCTCTGCCTCAGGTGGCTATGTCAACCTCTGGCAGTCACCCCTAAACCCGTTTTTCCACTCTGGCTCACCAGGGCACTGCCCTGTCTTCACCTGTCGTGCCTTGATAATGATTAAATATACACTTGGGAGGCAGCCCTAAGACTACCAGAGTGACATCTTATGTGCCTTACTCCACTGTTGGTGCCCCAATGATGAGCACATCTGGCCCAGTTCTTAACACACTGAGCCCTGGTGTGACATCTTGCCCCAGCAGGGCTCTCTGCCCTTACACCCAGGTTTTTGTCAGGCCTGCAGTTCCAGCCCTAAATCAACTAAACCAAACGTGCAGTGCCTGCCCCAGGTGCCCACAGTGGCCTCTCTGGGTCCTATTAAAGCCACCCCATGCCTTGTGGCTAAACAGGCAGCTCAGAGACAAAACCTTTAACAAGATAACCAGCTCTCCTCAGGATATACATATAACCCAGACAAAGCCCTCACTGCTAGCTGGATTCAATGTCAGCCCCTCAGGGCTACCTTAATGCTTGTTGTTCATGGTTTGCTGTCAGTTGTCTGTAGTCGCTCTCAAGGAGCCCCTCTCCCTGCTATGATCTGTGCCCAGCTGGGCTCAGGTAGCTCCTAGGCTCCACCCCTTCTGATCACCTTACCTTTCTCTCTCTTCCCTGGGCACAGCGGTTCTTCATTACCTAGTGCAGAGTTGGACAAACCACAACACGTGCCACAGGTGGCATGGAGAGCCTCAGCTTGTGGTGCACAGCTGATCTGGGAGGGAACAGTCATAGCTTGGGCAGAGAAGAGAAAGCAGAATGAGAGATAAGACAGGGAGCATAAGGCCAGGTACAGACAGCAAAGCAGCAGATTGGGCAAGGGAAAGGGGATATCTAAAAGAGTGCCTGTAGGTCTAATATGAAGACCATGGTCAAGAGCTTCTCTCCTCTGGCAAAGTGGAACTCTCCACAAAAGGATTAAGTCCTACCCCAAAGGCAGGGTATATTTCTGAGGCTTTGTGTTTTCTAATATAAATATATAGCAAAATGTATACTTACAAAAACCAACCAAAACCAAAACGGTCTACCAACAAAAGCAGTCTACTGCACAAGTCTCTTTGGCCCATGTGAAAGAAAGTACCTGTGTTGTTCAATGCAGCACTGCGCTCTCAAATATCCTGATGATGCTCATGGTATAAGAACCTACACAGACTAGGACACATATGTCAGATCTCTGAGGCTACCCTCCATTCCCTGGTGTCCTGCTAGAGAAGTAAATAGGTCTGTCCAAGTGAGCTGGATAAAGACCCCCAAGCATTCCATACTTCTGGCTATTTCTGGGCTCCAGTGATCACTACAACTCCAGTGATTCTGCTGAGGGACACGGTAGCAGGGAGGGTGAAACAATATGTCCTGCAGTTGGAAAGGACTCTAGTGCTCTGTAGTGGTGTAATAAAAGCATTCAGTCAAACAAGGCTCTAAGCCCTTCTTTCTCTGTTTTTGGTGGCTTAGGTTTCTTTCACAGGAGCCAAAAGCAGTTGCAGTGCCACCATGATCCAAAACTGGGAATCAGTGTGCTAGTAAAGCGGTCCATCAGGGCTGTACTAGAGCAAAGGCAACTTCCAGTGGCCCTGTCTTTGGTGAAAAGTGTTGAGTTTGTTATAAGCATCGTTATGTTTTTATACTTTAGTGGGCTTTACTATTAAAACATAACAAAACCTGTTAAAAACTGGCTATGGTTCATTTCCATGCTCAGTAGCAGCTCTATGCTCCATGCACTGTGTCCCCCTAGGATATACTAGGATATACTGAATAAGGTTAGCTTAATCTAATGTTTTTAATATATTCCCTATTCACTTTTATCAGTACGGGCCTTCTCCTTTTAAAAGTAATATCAAGCTAGCGTGTATTTTACTTAGCTTCAAAGCTCTTACCCACGTAGCTGGTTTGCAATTCACACCCACTCGTTAACCTCTTCAGGAAGCAAGATTGGAGCTCTGTATAAATCAGGGATGCTCGCGCTTGTAGGGGGGCAGTTAGATAGGCCAAAGCTACCATGGAGCTGAGGATGGCATCCCAAGTTAAGGATAACAAAAATTGTTTTTTAGATATATAGGGAGTAAAAGGAAGGCCCAGGGTGGAATAGGACCTCTACTAAATGGGCATAAGAAATTGGTGACGGACAGGGGGGACAAGGCTGAACTCCTCAATGAGTTCTTTGCCTCAGTGTTCTTAAGCGAGGGGCAAGACAAGTCTCTCACTGGGATTGTAGAGAGGCAGCAGCAGGGTGCCAGACTACCAAGCGTTGACCCTGAGATGGTGCAGAGGCACTTGGAAGAACTGGATGCCTTTAAGTCGGCAGGCCCAGATGAGCTCCATCCAAGAGTACTGAAGGCACTGGCTGACATCATTGCTCAGCCACTGGTGGTAATATTTGAACACTCGTGGCGCACGGGCCAGGTCCCGGAGGACTGGAAAAGGACCAACATGCTCCCCATTTTCAAGAAGGGGAGGAAGGAGGACCCAGGCAACTATAGGCCAGTCAGTCTCACCTCCATCCTTGGCAAAGTCTTTGAAAAAATTATCAAGGCTCACATTTGCGAGAGCCCGGCAGGAAAAATTATGCTGAGGGGAAACCAGCACGGGTTCGTAGCAGGTAGATCATGCCTGACTAATCTAGTCTCTTTTTATGACCACGTTACAAAACACCTGGACGCAGGAGTAGGGATGGACGTCGTTTACTTAGCCTTCAGGAAGGCCTTCGATACGGTATCCCACCCCATACTGGTGAAGTTAAGAGGCTGTGATTTGGATGACTACACGGTCCGGTGGGTGGTGAATTGGCTAGAGGGCCGCACCCAGAGAGTTGTAGTGGATGGGTCAGTATTGACCTGGAAGGGTGTGGGCAGTGGGGTCCCACAGGGCTCGGTCCTTGGACCGATACTCTTCAATGTCTTCATCAGCGACTTGGACAAGGGAGTGAAGTGTACTCTGTCCAAGTTTGCAGATGACACAAAACTGTGGGGAGAAGTGGACATGCCGGAGGGCAGGGAACAGCTGCAAGCAGACCTGGACAGGTTGGACAAGTGGGCAGAAAACAACAGAATGCAGTTCAACAAGGAGAAATGCAAAGTGCTGCACCTAGGGAGGAAAAATATCCAGCACACCTAC